GCTGACCACCCAGTATCGCTGAACGACAACTCCTGTCCTTCTCAGTCTTCATGGACAACAGTCCTTCCCTGAGGGGGCAGCAAATTCGCCACTCTAAACTAACAACCCTTGGCTGCGCTCACTGGTCAGTTATGAATCCATAACTATTGTCCTTAGTTTAGGTCAGTGATTCCCAATCTTGGGTCCCAAATGTTCTTGGACTAAAACTCCCAGAAGCCTTCACCACTAGCTGTGCTGACCAGGATTTCTGGGAGTTTCAGTCTAAGAACATCTTGGGGACCCAAGATTGGGAACCACTGGTTTCGTTTTTCCTTTTCCTTGAAAAAGGAGGAGGGGAATTGTGCTGCTCTCCAGATTACAAAGAAAGAGTTGGCATTCCATGTTAAGTATGCAAAATTGGCTGACCACCCAGTATCGCTGAACGACAACTCCTGTCCTTCTCAGTCTTCATGGACAACGGCGGCATGAACTGACATTTAATGATGTCTGGAAAACCACAAGTTTTCCCACCTCTGGAATAAATGCTGTTGAACACAGAATATGCAGCTCTCACTGAACCTGTTACACCAGGATGGAAGATAATCCATGTATTTAGATTATCTTCCTCTACCAAAGCGGGTCACATTCATGAATGCAAATGCATTATGTCACAAAGTTATTTTCATCACCTTTGCATCCAGCAAAGAAGAGCACCTCACTCTTCATGGGGCTGACTTTGAAGTAATAGTGTAACAAGTCTGCACTGAACCTGTCAACCTCTAAAGGGAGCTTTCTTCCAATATAGTAAAAACAGTGAAATTTAGATTATCTTCCTCTACCAAAGCGGGTCACATTCATGAATGCAAATGCATTATGTCACAAAGTTATTTTCATCACCTTTGCATCCAGCAAAGAAGAGCATCTCGCTCTTCATGGGGCTGACTTTGAAGTAATAGTGTAACAAGTCTGCATTGAACCTGTCAACCTCTAAAGGGAGCTTGCATTTTTCAGGCACAGACTGTTGGGGGAAAGTGAACAAAGACAGGCTCGCATTGTAAATAAATCTGGAGTAGGAATGGATGACCTCCACGTCCCTTCTAACTCACAGTGATTCTGCAATTGTAAGATTGGGGTCTGGATAACAGAGTGTTTGAAGTAGTTAGACTTGCTGAACAGGTGGCTTTGTTAAGTAAAACAAGGGTGATCTTTTGCTAAGATCTCTTATATAGCTATTTCTTTTGTTGGCAAAAAGGGGGGAAAGGCAAAATATTTCGTACAAAATATCCAGAAAAAAATAGGATGGTTTTATTCGAGTTGGTGATGCTCCAGCACATCAACATCTTTACAGGCTATATGAGCTAAGCCGATATTGAAGAAATGTCTGGTCTATTGTAGAATGTTGGCACTGCAATGCTAGCACAAATAATCTATGCACAGGCAGCTTGGTTACCGTCACAGGCCAAGAAGATGTCCTTAGTGACCCTTAACTGTTTCTAATTTTTTCCTTGGGTGGAAGTGTGCGGAGAAGAGAAGTAAAGAACTGCTGGATGGCTCAGTGGCTTAGATCTCTGGCTATGTACGGATCCAGAGGTTGGGAGTTCGATTCCCCCGCTAGCAGAAATGATCTATGCGCAAGCAGCTTGGTTACTGTCACTGTCCAAGAAGATACAGTGGTGCCTCGCTTAACGAATGCCTCGCTCAATGATGAATTCGCATAACGATGGCCTTCGCTGGAAATTTTGCCACCTCACCTAACGATGTTTCCTATGGGGGATTTTCACATAACGATGTTTGGGACCTTGCTTCACTTAAGGATGACAGTTTTAGGTCCCCTGTTTCGCTTAACGTTTTTTTTGACAGCCCTGTTTTCGCTATTTTAAAAATATTCTAAAATGTCTAAAAATGTTTTAAATGCTTGGAATCGTTAGTGAACCTAATAAAACCTTCGTTAAAGTAATTTGGCTTCGTTCTGAGTCTTTTTGATTTTTTGGTGATTTTTTTTCCACCATTGAAATGTATTGAATAGGCTCCTATTGGAACGGATTAACCGGTTTTCAATGCATTCCTATGGGAAATTGTGTTTCGCTTAATGATGTTTTCACATAACGATGTTTTTAATGGAACCAATTAACATCGTTATGCGAGGCACCACTGTATTTGTTCTTAGTGACCTTTAACTGTTTGTACAATTTTCCTTGGGTAGAAGTGAGAGCAGAAAAGAAGTGAAGAACTGCTGGATGGCTCAGTGGTTTAGGTCTCTGCCTGCGGATCCAGAGGTTGGGAGTTCGATTCCCCACTATGCCTCCTTGACAGGGCCCGGACTCAACGATCCATTGAGTCCCGCCAAGCTCTGCGGTTCTAAGACGATGACGAAGAACTAAAACAAACCATCCACATATTGGGACTAGAGTTAAGAGGGGGGAAAAAGCATTCTGGGTATTCAGAATCCTATGAAGTATGAAAAATGGGTAAGAAACACTTTTGGTGAATGCTTGTCTCAAAATGTCTAAGAGGGTGATTCAGAGATAATATTTGTCATGGAGAATGTGCCTTAGGAGTTCTTCTGTAAACATGCAGGAAAACATGGAGGAGCAGAGCCTCTGGTGCAGGATTACAAATGCACCCTTGTCCATTTTGCATGCTGGTAGCATTTTTCTAGTCTACTTAACAAGCATTTCTACCTGTCATGAGAAACTTTTTTTTCTTCCTGTACAAGGTCCCTTTTTTCCTTGTTTTTATTGCAGCCAGCATCATAAATGGATGCTTGTGATCTGCGTGTAACACAGAGGATATTCTGATAAGGAGGTCTATAAAAATTGCTACACCGGTAAGTTGTCCGTTGCCACCTCTTTTTTTTGTAGTGTTTGAGGGCGGAAGGGAGATATAGAATATGGAAACAATCTTTTTATGGCATGGCCAGTAATCTTCCCTGTCTGACATGCTTTCACAAGACACCACTTCTTTATTTCTTTCATTAACATCTTCCTTTCCTCCAGTGAGATCGAAACAGCAGATGTGGTCTGGCCATTGCTCCATTGGACTTTCCCAGCTCTCTAAGGGGGATTAGGTAGTCACTGGTCCCACTTCACTTTGCGAACTTCGCAGCAGAGCTGACATTTCAACCTGAACCTCCCCATTCCGTTTTTGACACTGAACCCCAACCTTGGATCTGGTGCCTCCAGGATGGGTTAAACCACCGTCCTCACCATCCAAGATCGGTCATGGTCCAAAACATCTGGAAGACACCAGGTTGTGGAAAGCTGCTCTGACTACTACACCCCAATGACCTTTAATGCATCTACAACAGCCATTTGCCTGAATGTTTTTCATGGCCATGATGCATTGGCTGAGGCTGTGGCTGCCGGTGTGGCAACACTCCATATACCTGAAACAGAGATCTGAAGAAAGCTGCCTCATTCTCATGACTTGGACACAGTGAGATACTTTGAGGGGAAACATTCAAGGTTTGTGAAATTTCTCACCTGGATCGTGAGAGTCAAAGAGTGGCTGAAATCCAGTGCTTTCTGAGCAGTGTGCCAGGTGTTATCCCCAGACAACCAACATCACACAAGAAATAGATTGCAGAATTGATTGTGCAGCACCATTGCACATTATGCATGTGAACGTACTTTTCAGATAGCGCTTCAGCCCTACCACACTTTTCTCTAATGCTGCTGCGAGTCTTCCAAGCCCCCACAGAGGATGATGGGATTGGTCATCTTCAACTCTTCCTCAGATTCCTAACCTTCAGAATCAGCCCAATTGTGTGGGGCAGAGATTGGTAGATATTTGTTGGAGGTTAGAGATATGTGTGCTTCATGGGCCCTTCACTGAAGTTGTCTGTTGCCCTCAAGTGAAGGAGATACACACATGCACACATGCACGCATGCGTGCGCGCGCACACACGCACACACAGACACAGACACACAGACACACAAACGGTATAATTATAAATGAAAGGAGAGGGTCCACTAATTTATTCCTACTAGCCTACAAAGTGGGAAGTTTCCCTTCCCACTTTGATTCCATGTCCCTCTCAGAAAAACACCATCAATGCTGAAAACATTCTTAGATTCTTCAAGAGATGTTACTTGTTTGAGGATCTTGCTAAGACGGAGGACTCATTGGGCAAAGTGATCACTTACACCAGTGTTTCCCAAAATTGGCTAACCCAGGTGGTCTTGGACTGCAGCTCCCAGAAACCCTGGCCAGCACAGGTGGTGGTGAAGGCTTCTGGGAACTGCGGTCCAAGAACACCTGAGTTACCTAAGGTTGGGAAGCACTGGTTTATACTGACAGCCCCTTTTCAGGCTTCCTTGGCCAGTGGTGGTCACCACACTACATAAAAGTTGGTTGGGAGCTGCCATTTTGATTCCCCAAAGTGTCCCAGAGCCTTTTGACCTAAACGCCAGTCAAAGATATCGAAAGAATCTTGAACATTGAGCAAGATGCCTAGCGTAGGGATCCTACAGGAGATGTCAGAAGTGGATGGGGGTTCCTGCTTTGAGATTAGGATCCAGGAACAGACAAGCTCTTCCCTGTGGGACACTTATCTGCTGTACATGTACCCATACCAGAAAATTTGTGTGCCTTCAATGATGGGTCTGGACACTTATCTGCTGTACAAGTACCCGTACCAGAAAATTTGTGTGCCTTCAATGATGGGTCTAATTATGCAACTGGACACACACACATCCTTTGTATCTGTGATCTTTATCTCTTAATAATGTCTGAACAAGGCTGTACAGAAATAACTAATGATACAATTTAGAGGAAATCTTCAGGACTATCGATTTCATAACCAATAATCACTGTTAAAAATGTGAGATTTCTCGTTTTCTTGGTTTACTCTGCAAACCTTTCACACATGATAGGCTGATCAAAAGGCCATTCTGACCTCTTGTCTGAAAAAGGTCAAACAAAACAGGTGATCATGTTTCCTTGAGCCAGTTCGTAAGAACCTTTGGCCCTGCTTTCCACCAACAGACTTCTATATAAAAGTGGAGTAGAAAAAGGTACTTTCCCATCCAACATGCACCAGATGGAATCCAAAGCCAACTGTGAGGTCAACATGGCATCAGAACTCCCAGTAAGTAGCTCACTTTCATTTTTAGCTATTTGTCTGAAAACTGTTCTTTGAAATGTATATGGGAAAGTCCATATGGCTAGTAATGTAGCAACAACAGCATAGGGAAGGTAGATTTATAGAGGATGCTACTGACAAAAATCACCTTTTGATTATTGCGTCCATTTTCTCTAGCAGCAAATTGAAATGCTGTACATATACAGTATGAGAATGAATTTAATTGATTGTCATTAACACATTCTAATTCAGAACTAAAGGCTTAGGTTTAAAGGGAACTTATTTCATGCGGCATTGTAAAATGGTTTTCAACTTCTCTTTTGGTGGTTGATGATAGGAAATCAAGTTTTGGGAACCGCATCAGCAGACAGAGGACTGCCCTTATTTCCAAACCATTTTCATTAAGTGACTAAAAATGCCAGTTGTTTATTAGCGTCTAATGATATGCAGGGGATAATTTTGCAAATTCTCCCATCTAGCTCTTCTAACGTAAAATTTTTATCAATCAGCTCGCTCTAATACTTTTACAAAGATACGAAAGAGAGACGTAAAACAATACCTACATAGGAAACATTTCTTTTCTATGAGAGGCAGTTAGAAGCCTATGACATTTCTGTAATATTTACCGAAGGGGGACCCCACCATGGAAGGTAGAAGCATGTGCAAGACAATTTCTTCTGTTCTGGACTCCTGCAGAGAAAAAGCCATTAAAGACACTTCATATATACCTGCAGCCTGCATTTGCTATTGTTCATTTTGGCAGGGACATACTGTAACTAGAGTAGAGCCTAGAGTAGTCCACCACGACTAGATGCTGAAACCAAGAGCAAGACAATTTCTTTTGTTCTGGATTCCTCCAGAGAACAAGCCATTAAAGACACTTCATATATACAGTACCTGCAGCCTGCATATGCTATTGTTCATTTTGGCAGGGATATAACTATCATACCACTTCATCTCTTTCATATAGCAGTTGTAAGATTTCCTTTAATCCAAGATTACCTTGGGAACCAAGCTGATCTTGATCTGCTGTTACTGCTGTTTTCAAAAACACAGCATTCTTTAACACCGTTCTCCATAGGTCAACATGAATGGTGGGGGGGAAAGGGAAAGGGGGCACTTTTCTCTTTGAAAGCCTCTCAGAGGACATTTCACTTGCAGGCATCCCTTATTTTAGGGGTGGATAACATGTGGACTGTTTGGCATATGCACGTTATCCATGTTTGTGGCCTGTAGAATCCACCACCATCCTCCATAAAACTTTTTTAAAGTTAGTAAATGCAATTCTGAAAGCCCGTGAAGGACAGTTCTCGTTCGAGAAAAGGTGCAAGGTCCTGTAGACATTGTTTTAGTAAAAAGGAGATAATATCAAACAAAAGTGGGTTTGTCACTTCGTTCCATTTTTATTGGTAAGGAGGTTACAGGCTACAGTGGTTTGGAGTGGCAATACTGGCCCAAAGACCTAAGGAAGATGGCCACCCTGGCTTTCTTTGAAGGCCTCTGCAGTCCAAGTTCAGTTTAAGGGAAAGTGTGCACCAGAAAGAGGAGATGACTCTGGAAGATGACTTTGAAGGCTGCCACAGACAGTGAACTCTCGGAGAGTAGACAGAGATGGTCCACACACACACTGAGTAAAAAATGATTTTATTTTCATTTAAATTATTGTTTCCGAATTTGGCCTTGTATAGATACGTTATTAGCAATTCCTGCAACTCTATGTCAACTTCCCATGTTCTTGTTGGCAAGGTGTAGGCAATCACTCTAGAAGAAGGAAACAGGTATGATGTGGATGAGGTCTGTAAATGGGCAAAGGAAAAAACTTGCAACACCCCGCCCCATCTAAGGTCCTGATTCTCTTCTCCAGGCCTACAAGTTTATACCTACAGTTCCCAAGGACAGGAAGCAAATAATCTTCATCTCTGTTATCCTGGTGCTTCTGACCATAGTCATTACTGGAGCAATTCTTATTGGAATTAACACATCTCAAGAACACACTGAAAAGGTGAGCAGAACATCTTAAAAGAAGTTGATGCCATTCGTAAGGGGAATGGGGTGGGATCCATACTAGATGGGGATTCTTACAAAAATGGCTTCCTAAACTGGCAGGTCCCTTGCAGCAGAATAATCTGGTCATACCTAAGGACAACTCTGACTCACAGGGTTGAAAGTTTCATCACCAAGAAGCTGTCACCTGCAATTCAGCAGGTAACCATCGCAGCCTAGCCTGGTGCCCTCCATATGTCTTGGAGTCCAAACTCCAGCAACTGAATCAATCATGCCCAGTGGTTGATACGAAATGTCTGGAGGGAAGCACCAGGTTAGGGGGAGCTGCTAACTCCTGACAGCCCTATTTTTCAAAGAAGAAGTTGGGGCAAAGAAACAATAGCTCTTCTGTTGTTACATACGGAGTTCATAGTTCAGTGATTTCAGTACGAATGGATGGGAATGGGTGAGTGAGTAATCATGATCGGCACCTGGAGTTTCTTAGCCTCTGTGTTGCAGCAGTTTCCTTATGGAACAGAAGATCCATGTCAGAGCACAGAACCCTGCATTGAAACTCCCAAAGCATCTTCTTGTTGGTCTCTCCCCATTAACACTGGCTTGATCCTGAAACATCAAGTTGAAATATCTGTTCAGATGATCTTCCTTGAAACCACCCTGCAAAGATCTAAGACACAAACTGTATTGCCTTATTTCTTGTGACTTCTCCCTTCTGCAGATCATTAGAACCCTTAGCAATGGAGCCCACGGTGAAGTGGTAGAGCAAACGGTGATGGTGAATCAGCAGGACAGTGTGGCTGCTTTTCACATCCAAAGCAATAAAACATCAGCTACGGTTGTCTATGACTATTATCATGTAAGTTTCAGAGATACCCAAGGTGGGCACCAACATGCAGAAAAATTCTTTTTACTATAAGTCCCATAATTCCCTCGGCCAATTTGGGGAATTGTAATCCAAAGTGTAAGTTTTCCAAGCCCTATAAAATACCCCAAGATATTGTACTGAGAAAAATTAGAATTATGTCCCTACAAGATGCTCTAAAGCAGTGGTCCCCAAACTTGGGCCTCCAGGTGTTCTTGGACTTCAACCCCCAGAAATCCTGGCCAGCAGAGATGGTGGTGAAGGCGTCTGGGAGTTGTAGTCCAAGAACATCTGGAGGCCTAAGGTTGGGGACCACTGCTCTAAAGCACCACAAGAGATTCTGTGGTATACCTTTTCAGACTATATGTTGATTTATTGGTGTCCCTTAAAACAGTGGTCCTCAACCTTGGGCCTCCAGGTGTTCTTGGACTTCAACCCCAAGAAATCCTGGCCAGCAGAGATGGTGGTGAAGGCTTCTGGGAGTTGTAGTCCAAGAACATCTGGAGGCCTAAGGTTGGGGACCACTGCTCTAAAGCACCACAAGAGATTCTGTGGTATACCTTTTCAGACTATATGTTGATTTATTGGTATCCCTTAAAACAGTGGTCCTCACCCTTGGGCCTCCAGAAGTTCTTGGTCTACAACTCCCAGAAGCCTTCACCACAACTTCTGCTGGCTGGGATTTATGGGAGCTGAAGTCCATCTGGAGGCCCACAGTTGGGGATCACTGTCTTAAAACCTTAATGTTTTTGTACTTTGGGGCCATGTAACTCTAGTTATATGAATTTTCGAGATGCCCATCCTTGTTGCGTGCTTTGTACAGATGCCTCCAGCTGGTTTAAAACCATGGGAGGGGCAGGGAGAGTAACATAAACCAGGCTTATAAATGGCCACTGTCTTAGCTAAAATGTTGGAAATAATTGCATCTTGATAATCAGGATTTTATATGTTGTCTGTCTCCCTCTTTTGGAAGGTAAAATAGTTATTTGTATACAAGAAAGCTATCACAATTGCCAATTGCCAAAGGAAATCATATACAAGAAACAAAATAAATGCTGGGTTTGTTATCTTGATATTTGCTCTTTGTGATAATTCAGACTTGGTCAGAATGTTGGGTTATAACAAAAAAGGAAGGGTACATTTCTCTGATTTGTCACACTATGTGGTACATGTGAATGTCCAGACAGGGAGGTCAAATCTTCAAAACACGGCACTTGAGAGGGGCATACATTGAGTGCCTGGACATTCCTTTTTTCCCCCTGAAATCTTCTTTGCTCCCTGCTTTGCTTCTAGAAACTGATTGGCTTCCGAATTCACAACAAAAGAAAATGTTCAGTGGTGTCCATGGATTTGGTTGCTGTTCCGAGCCTAGATGAAGTCACTCAGAAAATTGAGCACTTTGGTCAACAGGTGAGATGGGGGATGTAGAGAATCCTAGCACTGTTTGTTGGATATTGTCCTGGAGAGCATGTAGGAACAAAGGATGAAGTTTAACAAGGTTCTTTCTAGTAAGACAATGCAAGAGAAGAGGAGGAAAGATAAATGTCCAAGATATATTTCCGTACACTATATGAATGGACAGGAGTTCTGTTTGAGAGAAGTTATAAGACCTGTAACAGCCTTGTAAATAAGCTGACAGAAGTTATTAGTCAGCAAAAATATTTACCAGCCTTCGAAGTGGCAAGTGGTTTACATTTCCTTGCTGTCTGTATTGCAGGGAAATCTTCTTATCAGGCTGGCTAAAATTAAAAAACAGAGAAAGTAAAAAAATCATTTATTTTTCTGTTTTGCATTTCTTGATTGTGGAGGGAGACATTTCACTTCCTCAGTAAGGATGCCCAGGAAAAGAGAGAAGGGGATCACACGCCTTGATCAAAGCTTGGAAGTAACTAATTTCAAGCAACATAATTTGCCAGAAGTTATGCCCCCTTTTTTTTCAGTTAACCAAGACTGTCTGAAGTCACATTTTCAAAAGGAACTGAAAAGTAGGACAAAGGCACTTCTCGTCTAACAAGCATTGTTTTCTATTTATTTTCGTAGTGGCTTTCAAAGCATGCCTCTAGGCATTTTGGCAAGTGTGTTCAAGTTTTATCCTATTCTATCGTCAATCCCAAAAGGTTTTTTTTTATAAAGTGGAAAAATGGAATAAAAACGAAAGAACAAAAAGTTATTCTTTTTGTGCGGATTGTAATGAGCAACAGCTACTTTGAGATAGTTTTTGAAAAACACTCAGTAACAAATCTAGTTGACAAAACTAGATTTCCAAAGAATTACACGAGTGAGGTGCAATTGTACGCCACTGACTCTTGAAGCTAGCACAAATGAAAAGTTCCAAAGTGTACTTTTTATTGAAAAAGACATTTCCTTTGTTTCACAAAGGTCCCAGGAGACGACACCTTGAGCTACAGCTTCAAAAAAGGGAAAATGGCTGATCGGACCACTCTTGGAACCACCATTAACATCCTCTGTAGTGACCTCCCTGTATACTGGGCAGAGGTAAAATCCTCCTGTATTCGAATTCTACATTTGCAGGAAGTAGCTATCAAGCCATTCACAGAATGGGGTGGGCCGCAGGTGCTATGGGGGGTACTAAGGTAAAGGTAAAGGTTCCCCTTGACAATTTTTGTCCAGTCGTGTCCGACTCTAGGGGGCGGTGCTCATCCCGCTCTTCAAGCCATAGAGCCAGCGTTTGTCTGAAGACAATCTTTCCGTGGTCACATGGCCAGTGTGATTTAGACACGGAACGCTGTTTACCTTCCCACCGAGATGGTACCTATTTATCTACTCGCATTTGCATGCTTTAGAACCGCTAGGTTGGCGGGAGCTGGGACAAGCGACGGGAGCTCACTCCATCGCGTGGATTCGATCTTACGACTGCTTGGTCTTCTGACCCTGCAGCACAGGCTTTTGCGGTTTAGCCCACAGCGCCACCACGTCCCTGATATGGGGGGTACTAATATCTCCCAAAATGATTTAGAATATATCCCTTTTGTCTGAAATAGGGGTGGGCAACGTGTGGCCCTTCACCACCCTCGGGCCCACCAGATTCCCCACATCTTCAATATTTTTTGGGGGGGGAATAACTGGCTCAAAACCAAATTGCTTTTTGGGGCCCTCTAGCAGGTTTGTGGCCAATATTGCCAAATTCTGATGGAGGCCCAGAACTGGTGGAGACCTCTCCCCCAATAACTTCATTTTGTTTTTTTAAAAAATGGGCCACTAGAGGATGCAAGGGAACTACAACTTTTGTAAGAAAAATATTCGCCATTCAACAGGAATCTTACGTGGCCCTCCAAGGTTCACGAATGGGCATCTGTTGCCCCGAGACCTCTGAAAATTGTCCATTTAACTTTAAAAAGTGACAAGAACTAAAAGGCTTTTCCTTCTGTCACCAACCTAAAGTGATTGAAAAAGAATGTTCGGGACAACCCCGTTGCTGAATGTTTCGGTGAAAGGGATTAGGAATTTGGCTCTGGGCTTCTGAACACAGCTGTAATAAACTCCCAAGGTAACCTTGTGTTGAGAAGGCTACTCAACTGTAATCACATGTCCATTCTTCTGAGCCACAGTTCCCCCCCCCCGGCTTCATTTGAAGGGTTTCAAGTTCATCATCATCATCATTGACTCTCTCATGCAGTTGAAAAGTCTGCAAATGGTAGGGTGGATCTCAATGTATACAGCGGGCCTTATCTCCAGGTCCAGGTATGATTCTGTAGGAATGAGAATTCATTCAGCTGAGAGGAATAGTCAGGTCAACTGCCCACCTGCCCTCTTGTGAAAACTCCCTGATAGCCCATGGTCCCCTTGGCCATATCTGTACATCCAGGACTGTTTTCATCTGAAGCTGAATCACTAGATATCTTGAACCTATTTATGGAAAATGGAAAGCAAGTCCTTTGTCAAATTTGTTTCTCCTTCCAACCCTTTCTTCTTTTCCAGAAAAGTCACAAAGAGCAACGGAAAGGACCGCTACCTTGTCTAGGAATTTTGATTATTCAAATCTGCTTGACACTATTTTAAAGCCACTCAATATCCACACGTGACATGTAAAGTTGACACATTGGGTTACTTCTTTGCAGACATCACCCTGAACTCCACCGTCTTCCTCATACTGAAACAGAAGGATAGTGGTGAACATTAACTTAGGATGGATTATAGCAGGTGTTGCTTCTACCTTCGAGTTAGATAACACAGCTGTGATATTTCTTTTCCATAATTAGGTGAAAGCAAAATTAAAACCATGGCTCCGTGGAAAACTTGCATATGGCATTACTTTATGTGAAAATCCCTTTTCCAATGTGTGTATGTATGTGTAAACCCTCTTAACAGCATCCACCCAAATATACAATTCACCATGGAAAAAGAAATAGAGGGCTAACTCCCTTTCTTAGATGTCATGGTCGTACGCAAAACTGACTTCCTATTGGGACACAAGGTCTACAGAAAACCCACCCACACAGACTGGTACCTACACAAAAACTCCAACCACCACCCACAACAAAAAAAGGCATAATCAAAACACTGGTAGACCATGCAAATCGGAACTGTGAAGCTCAATTTCTCAGCACCGAACTCAACCATCTGAATTGGGACCTACATGCGAATGGCTATTCCAAGAATGAAATCAAAAGAGCCATCAAACCTAGAAAACAACACCAAACTGAAGAGGAAAAACAGCTACCCACAAATAAAGTATTTCTGCCATACATCAAAGGGGTCATGGACCACATAGGGAAACTTTTGAAAAAACAACCTGCAAACAGTATTCAGACCCATCACAAAAATACAACAAATGTTACGGTCAGCAAATGACAAAAGGGACCCCCTCACCACTGCAGGAGTATACCAGATACCTTACAATTGTGGACAGGTATATATTGGAACCACAAAATGCAGCATTCACACCAGAATCAAAGAACATGAGAGACAGTGCAGACTAAAACAACTGGAAAAATCAGCAGTAGCCATTGAAATCCATAAACACCAGCAGAGCTTCAGCAAAAAAGAGGAAAGTCTAAAACTTAATAAGGCCTGGCTCCCAGCACTGAAAAATGCAGCCTGCAAAAGGTCAACAAACTCTACCCAGCCACAAGGACCAGGGATCATTGCACACAAAAGACCAGCTAAAGACACCCATCAATCACAATGACAGATAATCTCTCCCCCCTTATCACAGCAATACATCCACAACAAAAACACGCTGATCACCATCATCACCCTATCTCCTGAAAAGGACAAAAGCTGTTCCCACAGCTATAAATACTCAACCATCCAACAAACAGCAATAGATCATGGACAGAGTTCCTATTCCAGTCCTCCGAGGATGCCGGCCACAGAGACTTGCAAAATGTGAGGAAGAACAACCAGAACACGGCCAAAGAGCCTGAAAAACCCACAACCACCATGTCTATGTATATTCACATGCAAGGGATCTTCAGCAAAAATCTTGCCCTATGTTAATTCAAAGTACATTGAATTACAAGTTCTTCCTGTTTCTTGGTCCTTTCTCATCCTGGATGAGGGACTAGTGATGGTTAGCTGTATGAATGCTTTGTTTTAATTGGCACAGTGTCAATTTATGTTCCCATTAAAAGGTAGCCTTTAGCTACTGGCTTTCTCAATGCATTATTTATTTCATTTTTAATAGCAAAAATGTGCTACTTCATTGTTTAAGAAGATGAAAAGGGGGAAAAATCTTAAGAGGAAAAAAGTACTTAAATTCTGCATTTTTTGAAAGTTTTCTAAAACATTCTGCAGGAAATTGGGAAGAGGGGCTAGCAGGTATATGTATGATGATCTGCATTTTGGGCAGTGTATGTAACAAGATTAAACATGCAAAACAAAATACTGTACGCATGTGACAGAGCAGAAAATGTATCATTCAGACATGACTAAATTCTACTGCACAGACTAACCCTCATCAGTGATGCCACAATGACGGATTCAAGTCCTTTAGCCTGAAAAAGCTCCATAGCCAGATAAAGTATAGAAACCTCAGAATTCTGGATGCCATTTAACAACCTTTTTGGTCTACAACTTCTGGACTGTCAAATAGACCAGAGAGACCAGTTCATTCCAATAGAATTACTCCAAATCCAATCTGAATGTCTTATTCAATCCTTAAACAAACAAAGCCATTTGCTTATACAGTACTGTATAACAATTTACTGTTTTAGTGACTGTTTTTAATATTTGGAAACTGTCTTGAAGGCATGTGTCAGTTTGAATTTTACACAAGCCTCTTAAATAATAAACATCTGAGTGAACGCCTTAACCTTGATCTTCTTTCTGTGAC